GTTAAACCAAATATAAAAACCGAGTGAGTTTACACACGACTAGAAAGCAATCAGGAAGATGAAGACCATATAAGATGACAACCACAACAACAGCAACAGCAACAACAAGTGCCACCATCGGCGGCGGATCCTTACCACTACTACCACCAGCACCAGCCAAGACCACCAGTTCCTCCACAACCGCAAGGAAGCACTACATGGTACTCCAATCATTTCCAATACCAACCACCACAGCCACCGCCACCACCATCACACTCTCCATCTGCTCCACCTCCCCAGCAGTGGCCTGTACCTCCTCCTCCCTCTTCTTCATATCCTTATCCTACGCACCTTCCCCCTCAAAGCCACAACTTCCCTCCTCCTCGCCCCCACGTGCCTCCACCAACACAACCTTACTCTCAGGTGATTCGCCCAATTCTTAATCTTATGCTTTTGCACTCTGTGAAGCTATGGTTATTTTTGCCGCTATGATATTTTAGAGCGATACATTAATTGGTGACCAATTGGATGTTTATTTATTTCTGTTTGTTTGCAGGAATGGGGGAATCCTAATTGGGGACAGCACCAAGCTTGGGAATATCCAGCAGGTTAGAGTCTACTCTTAAATCCAAATGCAATTCTTGACACCCTTTCCCCACTTTATTGCTTGAGTTTGGACGGTCTACTATCAGCATTGTGGATTGCATATACTTAACCAACATGAACCTTTCCTCCGCCCAGACCTTGCTAGGAGTTTTAGTTTGAGTTTTCAAATTACTTTTGGGGTTTACTTTGTGATGATATGTTTTAATAGCAGCTCATAACCATGTGGAGGATTGGGCTGCTAAGGCCAGAGCATGGGCAGCTGCGAAAAAAGGGTCACCTGACGACCAGCATCCTCATGCTCAGTTTACACCAGTTGGCAGATCAGAAGAAAAAAGTTGGTATTATGACCAGTATCCGCAAACTGTCGATACTCATTATCAAGGTCTTCAGCAGCATCCATTTCCTGCAACGGGCTATCAACAGTTTCCAGTTTCAGGCACTCCTTTGCAGCAGTCACCGGTAGCTTATCCACAGGAGAATGCATCTTTCAACAGGGGACAATCTTCATATGTTTCTGATAGGCCCCTACCCAACGCTGGTGGGGCTGCATCTTCAATTGCAAGTCCGTCTGTTTATCAGCAGGAGGTACCTTCTAGTTATTCTTCTGTTACAGGTAATAATTAATTTAGCATATTGTACTTGCATGTGAAGGTTGTGTTCAAGAACTGCTCCTATGAGACCTTGTTTTAACACTTCTACCTTTTCATCTGTATGTAAAAGGCATGCAAGACAAAGTGGCTTCGGGAGATGTATTACCTTTTCTATGACTAAGGTTTAAAGAGAATTTGTTTTCAGTTCTTGCTGTAAAGAAAAGGATAAAGCAACATCAACTCCTATTGGAGTTACAAGTTTTTTGAGAGGATGAAGTCCAATGTTACCGTGATCTTTAATATCTAAAACTAAATTAAAATCTATAGAATTCATGCAGTGAATTGAACTTTGTGTGCGGAACATTTAGGAGCAAGCTTACTGATGTCCAAGTTAAACTTCCATTTCTCTTGTGGCTTTTATATGTTATTGTTCATTTTTAATTTTGCTGTTTGGCTACTTAATTGTATGCAGGTAAAGAAGAGACTGAAGATCCAAAGGAGCAGCTTTACAAATCATTGCCTTTGGCCATTTCCTCTGCTCAAGAAGGACAGCATCGTATCCCACCATCACTGCCTGCTGCTGGTAGATCAGTTTTGACTGAGCAACCTTTTGCATACAGCAATCAGGCAGCTAATCCCACAGCCGACCTCAGTAATCAGCCTTTGGAATTTGCACCTGGTTTCAACTCTGATCATGATCCTCATGTACAATCAAGCTATGCTGCACATCATGATTCAGCAGGAACTGTGAAAAGCTTTGGCCCTGCTGCACCCATGCCTTCAATTAGTTCCTGGAATCCTGCTGTTACAACTGGTGTAGTTTATCCCCCAATTCCTCCAGTTTTTCCACCAGGGCCTCAGGTTTTAGTTCTGGCTTTGTGAATATTGCAAACATTCCTTCAATTTTAGAGGTTTTACACTGATGTGTTAATAACTGCTACTTTTTTCTGCAGGATCCTACCATATCTGTGCCTTCTTCTGTTTCTGGGCATGCTGCACCACCATTTGGAAACTTTCCTGGAACAAGTTTTCAGGCCACAATTTCACCAGTTGGTGTGCCATATGGTCTTGGTGCAGGAAATGCACTTCATCCTACTGGAGGCTTCGCAGATGCTTATGGGGTTTCTAATGTTTCTGAACGCCCAAAAAAGGTGGGTACACTCTTAGGCTGCTTTGCATTTAACTAAAATGATTACTAATGAGCTGTGAGAAATTTTCCAGTCTTCTGTGCCTAATTGGCTTAAAGAAGAAATAATTAAGAATGCCCCTGTCATGATGAGGCCTTCTCTAGAGCATCCTAGAGAGGAAACACAATCTATTGAGGATGACGATGCTGAAAAATCATTTGGAAAGGGTAATCAAGCAGGTAGCAGAAACATCGATTCCCCAAGTTCTACTGAAGAAAAGGATGACGATGAGGTTCTATTGCTTAATCTTTTGATCTTTAATGTACTTTTGGTGTTTCTTTCCCATGATCAAAGACTTTTTCCTTGCCAGATACGTTTCTTGATAATTTCAATGAGTTTTCCACTTCTCCTATCATGCTATGCTCTCCATTTGATTTTGAACAATGAACGTCCTTTTCCCCTTATTCTTTGTCTTTCTGTTTTGGCTCTTTTCAGGATTATGCCGAAGCAGCCAGGACTGCAGCTATTAACCAGGAAATCAAACGTATCCTAACTGAGGTTCTTTTGAAGGTTACAGCTGCAAAAATTCTATTGTTTTTTTTTTTTTTAAATTCATTTCTCTCTTTGGTAGTTGTACCCTCCATGTTGTGATTAGGTTACTGATGAGCTGTTTGATGAAATTGCAACAAAAGTTCTTGATGAAGATGATCTGATGGTTGAAGGTAATAGTGCCATAACATCCAAGTCTTTATCCATATCTTTACATATCTTTCTGTAACTACCTGCAAATGTTAACTCCATTCCTCTCTTCAAAATCTTGTCTATGATGGCCCTTTTCGGCTTTGCAGTCGAGCACCAACCAGCTGCTTCAAATCAAAAGGTATCATCCCCTTCTCACCCAGCTATCTCAACTCTAAAGGCTTCTGCAAAGCTTCTAGTTCCTGTTGGAAACAAGGAATTTGAGAACAAAGATGTCAATGAAAAATCTAGTTCCAGCTCCCCTGGAAATGTTTTGGGTCTCGCTAACTATGCCTCTGACGAAGATGACGATGAAATCCAGAGTTCCAGCGTATCAAATTCGAGGAAAAATTCTGTGGTTCAACTGTTGGCCATTCCAGAGATCGCTGAAGATAATGATGGAGCTGAAAATGGCAATTCACAAGTAGAACTTGTAAAGAACACTGGAGCTACAAATTTAGAGAGTGATCTGAGCAAAACAAGTTCAATTGGGTCTGATAATAAAATCAATGGTGCTTTTAGCGAGTTGCGCGAGCATGTGCATTCCGAGGTGGTCTTTGGAGCCAGACATGTTGAAATTAGTGTCAATGGAGAAGAAAAAATAGAAAACAATAACAAGGCTGCATTCAAAGCTACAACTGGAGAACATGCCAAAATGAAATCTGAACCACTTGGTGAGAGTGTCAGTGTGGAAAAATCTGTGGTCGATTATTCTCATACTAGGGGTACCAGGGTGAGATCAGATCAAGACGGTCGACATGAAACTAGAAGTAGTGGGAGTAGGGCAGATGAGAAGGGGGATGATGATCACAGGAGACAGGATGGAAAGCATCCAAGCAAGGAAAAAACAGATGATCTGAATGGCTCAAAAGAGAAAAAGAAAGAGCGAAATGATAAGACAGGAGCTAGTGCAAAGGAACCAGAATCAAGAAGAAGGTCATGTCATGCTGAAGTCAAGGAGGACAGGAAAGAGGAAGAAAAACCCCACAGATCTAGTGCCAAAGAAAATGCCATCAGAAAGAGAGACCGCACAAAGGAAAAGGAGGAAGACAAAGCAAGACATAAACTTACCAGTGATTCAATCAAGCACAAGAGAACACGCTCCTCTTCAATCAGCAGTAGGGGTAGAAACAGCAAGGACAATGATTCAAGTGATGAAGCTTCAGATGATTCTAAGAGGTTCACTTCAGAGATCCAGTCTGTTCCTTTTTTTTTTTTCTGGATTTGCAGTGTGGATGCTTATATTCTGTTGTGTACTGCAGGAAACATTCAAGGAAGCGGCGTTCTTCACCATCTCCTGTCAGATCTAGAAGAAGGTACTCATTTATCAAAAGTTCATTGTTCTTATAATGTCTCCCATTTTTTTTTTTTTCTCTACACATTTGAACACTCAAAACTCTTCTGTGGTACTATCATGAAAATAAAATGTGTACCTCTTCATGTAACTAGTATGAAAAAAAGGGTAAATTGCAGTTTAATTCAAAGTTAATATGCTTGTTTGGACCCACGTTTTTGTTCGTTTAAATGCTTTGTGGATTCTTTGATCTTTTCTCATCAGCAATTCAAAATGTAGTATGATTTTCTCTAATGATTTTTTTCATGGTCAATTTTTAGTGAAGTTTCCTGTGATATATTGTTCAAGTCTGCTCTCCTTGATGCAAGCTCTGATAAAGTAACCTAGCTAGCTCGCTTTTTGAACGGAAACAATTAAATCAGTTGAAATTGTTTGCCTTTTTTGAGAAGGAAATTAGGAGTTATTTTATCAAGAGCAAGAAAGGGAAAATTAAGAGTTATTTAAATGAACATTTCTACCTTTTCTAGTTGAAGAGATAAAATGTAGTTACATTAGCTTTTTTGGTTAACGCTAGATGTGGTGTTTGATAGTATGTATATACATCCTTGTTATGTTAGTAGTGGCAAAAAAAGTTTACACAAACGGAAATTCTTGTAGAGTTTGATTCAGAACGAGGCTAAGCATTTCTCTGTTCAGTTTGTTTTCAACTCACCAAATAAGTATGATGGCTGCTTTCATTTCTAGACAAGTATCGCGGTCACCTCATAGCAAGCATTCCCAGCGCAGGCATTCTCCCTACTCTTCTTTTGAGACCACAAGGTATGTTGCCATGCAATCTTCAAGAATGAGATTGTGTGTTAGTGTTTCTGAGACATGCACAACCATTTGCTGCAAAGGTGAAAGCATTGAGCTTCTGATTTGTGAATAGCAATATTACCTAGTTCAGTAGCAGTGCTCATTTCTTGCAGGAGGAGATCAAGATCCCAATCACCTGTCAGGCGGCACAAATGATCTAAGATAAGAGGAGGATTCCTTGGAATGATGCAGGCTCTGAAATGCTAGGCAATTCTGATTGGAGGTTTGGAAAAAGATCTAATGTGTCCTCTTGAAATTATTTGATGTGCCCTGAATTAGGGATCAGGCCTAAATTCCTTAAAACAGTCGGGGATGTTGAATTTCTGGTATGTTGGGTGACGTGCTTAGGAAGCTTAGTGGGTAATGCAAAATCTATTTGCATGGTATGGAATGTCCAGGTTAAGTTGATAAGGGCTTTAATGGGGTGCTCAATGAAGGCTTTGTCCGTTCCATAATTGTTAAATATATTGTTTTTCGATAGCATGCGGCTGGGAATTTTGTTAGGCTACATTTTAGTGCCTTGTCACTGAAAATATGACGACGGCCTTTGTGAATTTTCATGCATGATTCGACACTGGAATTTTTCAGCTTAGATAGTAGTTTAATTAGAATCAACTTAGAGAGGCGATTCACAAGGCGTAATGAGCTAGTTGGGGAAATCTGATGGCGGGTGGAACTTCCATTGAAAGCTGAAGCACTTTAGCTTGTGATCTGTGAGAGATAAATTATAAGCTGGTCCCGCTAGTTTTGAGAAATGAATTAATGAGTCCCCCTTGCTTCATCAGTTAATTATTTAATTCTTTGACTAGTATTGATATGCTTAATTTAATATTATTTTACTTCGAAATTCATTCTTTTCATAATATCTATTTAGTTTTTTCCCTTTTTGTATTTTTTTAAATAGAAAAATAAATTAAATTAAAAAAGAACACAAAATGGATGAAATAATCAGTTTTTGAAACAGGGGAGGCTATTAGGGCCTCGAATTCTGTCCATGGCCGCCCGCTAGGCGCTTCAGATTTTTGTCTGAGCTTGATAGATCCTCTCACATTCAAGATTTCAGGGGTGTTTAAGATTGAGTTGTAATTTGCTTTTTTATTAAAATTTAATTTTGTTGTTGTAAATTATATTTCAGCATTTTTAAATTAAATTTTAAAAAATAAAAAAATATTATTTTGATTTGTTCAAGTAATAATCAATTGGAAAAGTTTTTATTTTTTAAGTTTTTATTTTAACTAATCACTTTCTTAAATATTTAGATTGTTGCTTTAATTTATTATTTTGAAGTTTTTATTATTTTTATTGTTTTGATTCTTTAATATTAAAAATAAATTTTAGAAAATAAAAAATGTTATTTTAATATATTTTAAAATTAAAAATATTTTTAAAAATAATTTTACTGCAAACTACTGAATGGTTATCTTTATCTCAATTTAATCCTCTAACCCTTATATTCTTAAGGGGTCCCTGCCTGACCTCCCTTGAACCCGGTAGCAGCTCGATCCCGTCATGAAAATGACTACAGTCAAACCGATTTGACTCAGTTTTAAAAACCACTTCTCTCGATGCCAGGTTTTAATCATTCGAAAAGTAAAAATGAAAACAAACAACATATGGCATGTTTTTTCTTGTTTAGAAAAATTGAAAACAAAAGCGAGAACATATAGAATAAATAAATAAATAAAAAGCCAGCACAGCTCTTTGATTTGTTTATGTAATTTATCCGGCATTTTAATAGGTGAGAGAGCATGGAGCGAAATGGTGTTTTGGGCTGGATTGGATGGAACATGGAAGGCAGCTGGATCCCCATGCTCTATCTAGGGTTCGTAATATTGAAAATATGGTAATAATAATAATAAAAAAGTAATGGAAGGCGACGTTTGGGTGACGCATAACTTCACGTCTTCCCATGCGATTCCCCGTCTTGGTGGTGCTGCTTCCAATGGCCATGGCGGGTTTGTTCCTCTACCGTTTCTTTCCTGCTTTTAAGTTAAAGTGTCACCCTCTTTTTGCCCACCAGAAGAAAGAGCAGTAGAGCACACGCAACCAACGCTTTTGCAATCCCAACAAAACAGAAGTGCAATTTGAAGGTTTCCTCACCTCTCCTCTTTTCTCTTTAATTTGATTTGTTTTTGAATGCAGGTTGATTGCTCTCGCTTTGTATGCCACTCGGAGGTTACCGCCATCTTCTTTTAAGCAGACAAGACCCCGAGGCTTAAGCCATCCAGTCACCACAATAATATTTTCTGCGCCTACTGCCCCTGGCTCCAACCAGAGTCTTGCTATTCGATCATGGCTTGCTTTGTCCCCTCAAATCACTGTCGTTTTGTTCACTCAACACCCTTCTTTTGCCCCCGCTTTTGGTTCCCAGGTTTTGGTTGATTACACTACTGATTTCACGTAAGCATTTCTGTTTTAATTTGATTATGCTTGGGATTGGTTATGCTAGCTCGTTCAGCAAGGTCGTTGTCTTGATTCTAATGTGAAGAATATGTCATTTACATTAGGCTTATTCTCTTCTTTTCGAATGTTTTCTAGGTTCCTTGACATCCCATTCTTTAATTCCATGCTTGAAAAATCACGGTTATACACGACAGGTATTACTGTTTTTGTTGATCCACGGACGGTTCTTGTGTCTGACCTCATTTCCACTTTAAATTATGCTTGCGAACTTGACCATGATTGGCTTCTTGTGGCTTCGTTACGAAACGTTGCCTACTTCCCGTTCCATTTGGATGATGCTGGGGAACACTGGCTTAGAGAGGATGGCCAAAGGGTAAGACGCCAGGAGGTACGAAGGATTCCTACTCCAGATTGAAAGGTGACCGCCTATTTGGGAAACCAGTACCATTGATTTCAATCTTGATTCCGACAGTTGCAGGGGATGCTTGGTCATCATTGGCAGTGGAATCATTGTGAGGACAGAATGCTTATGGCATGGAACAACAGAAATCTACGTTTACATAATGGAGTACTTCCTCCTTTCTTGTATGGCAAGGGGTTTCACATCCACTGGATCATCAATGAGGCTGTCTTTTCTGAATTTAGGCTTGTCTTCGATGCAAGTCGGACCATCTCATGTTTCTCTCTTAATTATCCTGAACACTGGTCTGAACAGTCAGGCAGAGGATCTAGTGCTTTAGAGATTGAAAACAGAAGCTGGGAAGACAGTGGCAATTCCCATCTGGGTGCAATAAATGCCTCCATGTTTTTCCATCAAATTAATTATACTGGTCTAGTAAAGCTTTTGAATTGTGAGGGGAAATATATTTTTGCTGACATAACAGAAGACATTGTTTATCCATCTGTGTGCCAGACAGGAAGTCAGTGGACTCGAAGAGTTTTGAGATCCTTTTACCTTGAGGAAAAATATGGATTCTGCCGAAAATGTCAAATCACAAAACAGAATATTAAATTGCTCTCTGAGAGATCAGTTAAAGTCATTGGGCTCATTAGATTTTCCATTTTCTATGGAGTCACTCCTTTCAATAACTCCAGACAAGAATAAAACAATCGTGCTTGCTGTTGCTGGATATAGTTACAAGGACATGCTAATGATTTGGTGGGCAGATTACGCCTCCTCCAGGTGAAACATATCAGTTCTCTATCTTACAGGTACTGCTTTCTGTTTCTCTTTAGTTATAAGTTTTTTCCCCCCAATTCAATTAAATCGGGGGTCAGTTCTCAGTGTGCAATTAAAGGCACGTGAAAAGGGACATGCTCATAAAAGAGAAACATATGTGTGTGTTTCTGGTATACAAGTTTTTGGCTACTGGCAGCATACTGGTTCAGAAAAAAAAATGCAAGTTTTTACCATTGCCTGAAATTGACATTTTAGGATAACTTTGAACGTCTGGGGAATGGACTTTGCCTGGACTGTTCTCTATTTATGGTTTTGAATGCCCAGAGGAATTCCAAAGTTTATTATGGCCTGAGTGCAATTCTTATTGTTGAGTTGCACCAAATGGTTTAGACTGCAAAATTTTAACATTTGAATTCTATTATGCTTTTGGAAAATTGGCCCCAAAAGTTCTATCTGGATTTTAGTTGTGGATTTCCTTCCTCCCAAGCTGCTATCTATTTGAGTGTGTTAATTGAAATTCTCTGTTTTCTGCCAGGGCTTACCTGTTTTCCATGATCCATCAGCCCCAAGAAACATCAGCTTTGACGATTGCCACTTTGGAACAGCATGCTTTCTGAGAGTCACCAAAGTGAAGTCCAGAATGGTTTGGAAGATACTGAAACTCCGGTACAACGGACTTCTAAGTGATGTGGATGTTTATTGGTTTGGGTATCCATTACCATTGCTTTATTCATTTCGTCCTGGTGTTCTTGTGGCACGGTCCAACAAGTGCCATGACACAGGTGAATGCTCTCAAATATTTAGGACTTAAATAACTAATTTCTTCCCATTGACTTAGTACACATTGATTCAAGGGGATCAAAAGGAAACTAGTAGATTAAAATACAAGAATATGTAGTTGAAATCTGGTGCAAGTGACTTTAATGACTTGTTTCAAATGACACTATCTTATGTTTGGTAACTGTACAAAATAAAGGGGGAAAAAAGGGTTAGAATGCTGTAATACTGAATAACGTGTTTGGTGACTCTATCTTAACTTTATTTATTCATCTGCTATTTTCTTAGAATTTAAATTGTAACGTCTTTTGTTCTGCTGTTATATCTATAGGACCTGTAAACTTACCCAGGGGATTGTACCCTGGTTTTCTACGTTGCTTGTTCTAATGGTTCAACTGTAGCTGCTATGTAGAAGGTGGTAAAGCATGCAGCAACATCAATCCTGTCTGAACAGCCAAGCTTCTATGACACATTGTGTGGAGAAGGTGGATCCTATCGTATCAGTGATAACAGTTGTGTGGAACCTGATACAAATCTGACTGTTCCTTTCTTGGATAGGAAGCTCTTCCCTAACGGTGCATCCTTAAACCTATTGCAGAAGAAAAATGTGAAAAAGACCTGCATGATGAAGGGTTGTCTTGTTCTTCATAACAACTGGATCAGTGGGAGGATGAAGAAATTGGACCGACAGATTGTGTCAGGTTTATGGGAGTATGATACAAGCAGAATGTGCCTGCAAAGATAGCACAATTCCAAATTGATGTGATATTTTTGTTACCTAGTTGTTGATGGGTTGGTGTATCTTATCTGCTGTGCTAGGCTAACTTTGATATTCACGCGGAAGAAAAGAAAGGAAATTATTCCCTTCCCCAATGTCAATAATCACTAGATAGCCTCGGTTTCTTCATTGTTTTCTGCCGGGAAAACACTACTTGTATACTGCCGGCCATGAAACCTTTGTGATATATAATAATATGGAAATAATGCAGATCAGAACAATGCTCGCCCACATTCTTGTCATTATAGTGAGATGAAATATTGGGATGTTGACAGCTTTTGAATGCCGGCTATGCTGAATGCCTGTCTAAATTTGTTAGGCCAGAGTCGAAGTACACAGACAGAATCCTGAAGGAAAATAGAACTGGAAGGAGGTCCTATTTCAGTGGACTCATGCATACAGTCGAGAGATATTCGTGTCAGGATAGTTCGTCCTGGTGGAAGAGAGGAGCTGTATCAACACGCAGTTCCTGCATCTCAGTTAATGGAAAAATATCCTGGAATGTGGTTTGCCCATCCAGGACCTGGTGGAAGAGAGGAGCTGTATCAACACGCAGTTCCTGCATCTCAGTTAATGGAAAAATATCCTGGAATGTGGTTTGCCCATCCAGGACCTGGTGGAAGAGAGGAGCTGTATCAACACGCAGTTCCTGCATCTCAGTTAATGGAAAAATATCCTGGAATGTGGTTTGCCCATCCAGGACCTGGTGGAAGAGAGGAGCTGTATCAACACGCAGTTCCTGCATCTCAGTTAATGGAAAAATATCCTGGAATGTGGTTTGCCCATCCAGGACCTGGTGGAAGAGAGGAGCTGTATCAACACGCAGTTCCTGCATCTCAGTTAATGGAAAAATATCCTGGAATGTGGTTTGCCCATCCAGGACCTGGTGGAAGAGAGGAGCTGTATCAACACGCAGTTCCTGCATCTCAGTTAATGGAAAAATATCCTGGAATGTGGTTTGCCCATCCAGGACCTGGTGGAAGAGAGGAGCTGTATCAACACGCAGTTCCTGCATCTCAGTTAATGGAAAAATATCCTGGAATGTGGTTTGCCCATCCAGGACCTGGTGGAAGAGAGGAGCTGTATCAACACGCAGTTCCTGCATCTCAGTTAATGGAAAAATATCCTGGAATGTGGTTTGCCCATCCAGGACCTGGTGGAAGAGAGGAGCTGTATCAACACGCAGTTCCTGCATCTCAGTTAATGGAAAAATATCCTGGAATGTGGTTTGCCCATCCAGGACCTGGTGGAAGAGAGGAGCTGTATCAACACGCAGTTCCTGCATCTCAGTTAATGGAAAAATATCCTGGAATGTGGTTTGCCCATCCAGGACCTGGTGGAAGAGAGGAGCTGTATCAACACGCAGTTCCTGCATCTCAGTTAATGGAAAAATATCCTGGAATGTGGTTTGCCCATCCAGGACCTGGTGGAAGAGAGGAGCTGTATCAACACGCAGTTCCTGCATCTCAGTTAATGGAAAAATATCCTGGAATGTGGTTTGCCCATCCAGGACCTGGTGGAAGAGAGGAGCTGTATCAACACGCCGTTCCTGCATCTCAGTTAATGGAAAAATATCCTGGAATTTGCGTTGCCCACCCAGGAGTTTTCAAGAATCTGCAGGAGTCTCTGACATGGCCGGATGAAAAATTGTCTGGTCACAAATATCTTATAATTCCATCCACCACTGCTCAGAAATTGACTCGTAAACACACTTGAAGTGTAAAAGTCAAAGGTTTTGCACATGGTAAAAATGAGATAATTGATGTGAATATTACTTGGGATCGGAGACTAGATATTTCTGAGGAATATTCTGCGAGAGAATTCTATACCTCTAAGGATAGGTGGCCAAGATATAAAGTGAAGAGGACTGTCAAAGCAAAGAAGCCTTTTGTACCCCCACTTCCTAAGGCGAGGTTTTTTCGGGGATCTCGGTGGGAACCCCGCATGAATTCTGTACAAGAAGTTTCTCCATGATGTATTATACCACCATGCATTCTGGTATGTGGTCCTTCCAAGCAGTTCTTTTTCCTCTCTTCTTTTCGTAAGAGTTCTAAAGCAGTTTTCATTGTCTATTGGTTTTGTGGCAGGTCTGCTAAAGAAACATTTACCACAATAATTGTGTTTGTATAGAAGTATAGATAGGTTCTATGTTCCTTAAACTCATGAGCTGGAGGTTCCTTCTTATGATTGTGGAATCTGCTGGGGCTGTTTCTTTCTTTGTCTAAAACTTGCAGAATGTTCAATTATTTAACATTGCTGAATCAAACATCAACAGCTTTGTCTTCTGAATGTTAATAGAACCAATAATTTTGCCATTTGCTTCAAGAGTTCCTGCCATGCTTCTGGGAGGTGATTCACATTCTGATGTAAATCTTTCATGGTCTTCTTAGAACTGCATTGTACCTGGTCATGGCTAAACTTGCTGTACAATTAATTAACTAGAATAGAACCTAAAGGCTGTGCAGAAAAAATACCACCCTCTCCAACATTAGAAAAGAGAATCACCTTGCAGTTTGATTATTACTCTCTCTAGAATGTCGATTTTGGTTTCTAACATGAGCAATCTTTAATCCTTACTCTACACTGAACTGAGCCAGTATTTAGGTTATTTTCTTATGCCAATAACATAAAATACCAATATCAAGTTAAAAAAAAAAAAATTCATTTTGTTTTCTCATTTCCATAAAAAACTGCGACTTCTTAAAGGAAATCACATAGCTCAAAAACACACCAATACCACAAATTCTTTTGAGAGAGGAGTGATCTTGATTAATCACATACATCAAGATTTTCATTTGGATTCTTGTAAATTTACTCTCACAAAATGTAAGACAAAAGCTTGGTCAAAATCCATGTGTAGAAAACTGCAAAGATAGCACCAACTGGAATTGTCACAGCCCATGAAACAACAATCTCTCTCACGGTTTCTGCTCTAACACTGTTCAGACCCCTTGCAAAACCTACACCCATCACTGCACCCACCAAGGTATGCGTTGCCGATATGGGCAGTCCCAGCTTTGATGCCACTAGAACCACAGAAGCTGCAGCAAACTCAGCTGCAAATCCTCTAGTTGGTGTAAGTTCAGTTATCTTCTTCCCAATTGTTGCCATCACTCTGTATCCCCACATCATTAGCCCTGCAACGATGCCAAATCCTCCCCATGCTAGAACATCCATCGGAATAACAATCTCTGTTCCACCGGCACTGCCGTGCAGAATAGATAATGCAGCAGCCAAAGGACCTATCGCATTGGAAACATCATTTCCCCCGTGTGCAAATGACATGAAGCATGCTGAGAGGATCTGCATGTATCCAAAAACTCCATAAACTATTTCCAACTGGGTACCCTTTGGTCCTGCAAAATCAGAGAGTAACCCAATATTTTTGCTGTGTATAGCATTCTCTTTTGGCTCAGGTTGTGACGAACTAGCTTTCACCAGGAGATGACCAAGCTGTTTCCGTATAATTCGGTCAACTAGGAAAGCACCAACTGCACCACTGGCTAGAGCCTGTGCCAGAGCTAAAGGAAAGACCTTGCTTAGAGGAAAGGCTGCAAAAGAGATTCCAGTTACACCCAGAAAGACAGCAATTGGAGCGGATGCAGCTGCAGCTAGTCCTGGATTTGGGGCGCTGTATACAAACTACAAAAGTTAAAGATGGTTAGAATTTCGGAACACATGAATGCCATAATTCGAATGTAAGTTTTTGGAAAAAAAAGTAAAAAAACCTCTCATTTGGTTGCACAAGTGGAAATTTTTTGTAGCATATCACAAGAAATATTTGATATAAAGTATGAGCTTCACTGGTTCAAATCTGCAAGTGTAATAACATACCCTGCGGATGAATTTGTAGACAAGAAATGAAACCATTGCCCCCATTAATGGTGAGATCACCCACGATGAAGTTACCCTTGCCAAAGAACTCCAGAAGACAGCACCAGGCCCCCCATAGACAAGACCAAATCCTACCATTGATCCTACTATACAGTGTGTGGTAGAGACAGGCCAACCATAATATGAAGCAACCTGGACAAATCAAGATGATAAATTAAGAATAAGTGAAAAGATTAAGAATGTAGTAGCACATTCAGCTTTAGGCTACAAAAATTAACAGAAATCGAATGTTTATATTTCAAGTAACTTGCACAGTAGGACGAATTTTGTCATCTAATAGGGTGCTGTCTAGATACGATGACGATTGCCAAAACATACATTTTCTTCAAGAAATCCTGTGCTCTTACCAGATCATAACTATATGCTTGATAGGCTTGGAAACTAGTATTGCTTCAGCTACTAAGACAAGATAAGGCATTTGAAAGGTCTTGAAAGTTACAATCAACTACAAAACAGGCCACAAAATGTGGCATCTGAAGATTTTGTTGATATGATCAGCAGTATCAGGATGTAATAATGCCTATACATTAAGTGAGCTGCAATTCTGAAATTGGTTATTCTAGAGCAAAAAAGGAATTCACCATAGCGCTAAACATGATATGTACAACATCTGTTTTGTTAAATTCAACAGAACTCCCAAGTAATTTTGCCCCCATCTGTTGAGAGGTGTGTAGCAAAGCCTTTTAAAGCATTAATTAATAATCATCACCACATCCTCATATAGAAACTTTTCTCCTGTTCTCTGTGTCTCAAATAGGTTGAATAATTTCATGATCAGTTCACAAGATATACAAAAACTTTCTATGTGTAAGTGATGCCACACTATCAAAAAACCATCTTGCACAAAGCTTAAAGTTATTACTTTATGCCAGAAAAATCATTTTATATTACTTTTTAACAACATATACTTTCACGTAAAAACTTTTTGATCTTAAAACTTGATATATTCACTATTATTTTTTTGTTAATTTTATTAATTTAATTAAATAATATAAAAAAAGTGAAATTCAAACTTTTAATTATTTAATTATTAAAATAATAATATTATATCAAATAATCATCTCAACTAAAAAAACTTACTCATATCAAGTAACCACTCATCATCCTTTCTATAACTTTAAATAATGCAGAATTTGCGTGACTAGGCTTTTAATTTGAGTGATGAAAGCAAATTACTACGAACTACTTGATTGAATTATGACGGATATACTTGGATTAAATTCAAGATCTTATACAAAATGAAATCTATTTAAAGGAATTAAAGGGAAGAAATTGAATGCAGTAACGCAAAGTGCACCTGCAACCAAGTACCAGCAGCAGCCAACGAAGAGAGCAATCCAGCAAAGAGCAGGGTATCCTTTCCCTGAAACACATTAGCAACAAGAATTCCCTTCTGCATTGTACCGGTCACATGGGTACCCGTCAACAGCGCTCCTGAGAACTCCAAAACAGCTGCAGTTAACACCGCCTGCCGGATTGTTAAGGCCCCAGACCCCACAGAAGTCCCCATGGCATTAGCCACATCATTGGCACCTATGTTCCAAGCCATATAGAATCCAAATAGCAGGGTCACATATGAGAGGAATTTGGTCTTCAAGTCCAAGCCCTGTCCCAAAGTCTTCATAAATAAGGGAAGACTGAGAGCAGCAAATGCTATCAATATTGATATAGCAGTGGCTGTTCTTGAGGATATATCGAAGGCCTGAGCCATTCCAGGAGAGTCATTTTCCTTCTTTCTTACCGTTTCTTGATGTTCCTCGATTTGAACTCCTTCGTTTTTCTCTTCCTCACCTCCAGCTTCAGCGTAAGAGGATATACTGGCAAAAGGGTGTGCGAGTTTAGAGTTGTTAAGTCTCAAGATGGGAGGAAAACTCCTGTTTGGTTGTTGCTGCTGAGGCTTGAATGGAAGGGTTTCTCTCTTGAAGAGGGTGGTTTCATTGGAAAAGAAAGAAGAACGGTTTCTTGGTAGATAGAAGTGAGAATTATGAAGGACATGAGTTTCTGGTGAGATAATGTTCCTTGTAGAAGATGATAAGGTATAAAAGAGAGTCATGTCTAGGAGTAGATGGCAAAGAGAGCGAAGAGAAGAGATATGGATATGGAATTATTCATGTAGATTCTTGGTCATGGAAGAATATTGTAGCCAAAGGGGAGAAAGGAGAGTAGGTGGTGGAGGAAGAATAGAGGAGTGTGCATCACTTTTGTTGCTTGTTCACTGGGGTGGAAAGGAGGTTGAGAGTGGATTTGGCTGCTTGCTTTGGTTGATTCAAATGAGTGGTGGCTGTGCTTCTGGAGGGTCTCCACTTGTCTGTGCACATGTTTATAGTCAGAAATATTAGTTGAAAAAAAAGGGGGAAAATCTCCATTCTTTATCCAAAAAGAGATATAGGTAACCCCAACAATCAAAACCAGGCCTCTTTCCACTAGTTTTCTACCCAAGATATATATATATATATATGCAAACGTTGTCAAGAGTTTAAGAAGCAAATCACATTAAATTATATTGCAGCTACAATTACAATTAATTAAAAAAAAAACTACAAGGCATATATGGTTTCTATAGAAATCCACGTTGATATTTATTTATTTTGATCATGAAAGTTTTTTTCTCTTCTCTTTGTATCCCCTCCCTCTCTTCAAATTGGTAGTCAATCGATCCAAGTTAAAGTATTAAAATAAATAAATAAATAAATAAATAGCAATTTTAAAATTGATATAAAATATTTATTTTAGTTCTCATAATAACTTTTCAGCCTCTTTAATTTTTAAAAATTAATTTTAGTTCAAAACTTTATTTTTTTATATTTCAGTCTTTAATTTAAGCGATGAGAGAAAGTTGTTAGTAAAGAGAGAAAATCATCGATTAACATTGATTTTGATCACGAAAAGATTCAATTCTAGTGTCAAGGAGTTCAATTCAAGTGTTCTTTAATTTTCTTATTGCTTAAGAGGGTAAATTTGAACTCAAAATTATTTTTCAATTCTAGTTGATTTGGGTTTTTGAATCGATTAAATGCTATTTTGATATAAAAAATAGGTGTTCTGAGATCATTAGAGTTTTTGTGTTTTTACCTATTAGAGTTGGCTACCAACTTTTCATCCACCTATGGTAATCAAAATTTGAAAAACTAAAGGATGCATTGCCTATTTTTTTTAATGAAGGACTAGCTGACATGTCATTCTTCCCTTGAGAAAAAAACTAATCAGGCCTAGGTGCATGGGCTGCCCCAGGCCTTCATGCATGAACCTTTCGTTGTTTTCGTTTTGTTTTTTAAATTAATTTTTTTTAATTTTATCCTTTTCAATTGAATTTTTATTGATTCTTCTTATTGATTCCTTTTCTTTTCTAATTTCATCACTTAATATTTTTTTATTTTAAAAAAGGCAACATAATTTGTTTCAGTATAACATTTTTGAATTGATTTTTTTTAAATTTTATCCTTTCCAATTGAATCTTTATTGATTCTTCTTATTGATTTTTTTCTTTTCTAATTTCATCACTTAATATTTTTTTATTTTAAAAAAGGCAACATAATTTGTTTCAGTATAATATTTTTTTGGTCTATTGCAATCTCAAAAAGCTTCAATATTTGGCTATTTCTTGATTTTGCAAGCATGTATTTTTTTAGTCATATAATTAAATAAAAAAATGATTGAACCTGAATGAGTCTATAACTCGGGTCACGAATTTAGCTGGTTAACTTTAGCTAAGTAGAAGTTAGGATTTATAATTTATTTCAATTTACTTTATATGAAGTTATGGAAGTCTCAAACTAATGTCTTGCCATTGAGTTGGTGCTTGATTTTTTGAGTGATTATTTTTGTTATCATATGATTAAATAAAAAATATTTTTAAAGATTTTTTTTTTTAATTTAGTGGAGTTCATGACCCAAGCCATAGATTCGATGAGGTAGGCCACAAAACTTAGATTGATTAAATAGGTCACCATCTCAATAATGTTTTTAAAAAAATTGTGTCATCTTGAAATTTATATTTAAGCCCAGACCATATTTCTACCACTCATTTAGGTTGCCTTTGAACCCGTCAACTTGATTGTGTTATGTTAGGACAACTTTTAAGCGGTTTGATTTAAAATATGAAAGAGGCAAGAATACGAGTTGAGAGGTTTCATGATTGATGGACTAGTTACTAAAAAGATTCTTTGTGATTTAAACATATTTTTAATTAAAAAAATTATAGTACAACTTGTAATGTATTATAAACCACCTGTCTAATAAAAACTAAAATAATTGCAAATTGCTTAATATTATAAATTTATGAAATATGTTTTTTAGTTGGTAATTGCTTGGAAGTTTATAGATGTATAATGTATGACTATTGTAACATTCTAATTTTTAATATATGTTGTGTCTGAATAATATGCTTATATGTAGTATTAAGGTTAATTTTTATTTTATAAATAATTCATCTATATAAGTGGTTAAGTAAAATCTTATAGTATTAAAGATCATGCTAAAATTTTAACAGAATTTTCTCTATACTTAAAGGGTACTAAATTAACGATATTTTTAACCATAACCCAAACAATGCTATAATTATTGTCCAACCATCCTGGATCTTTCCACAGTCTATACATCAACACAAATTAAAATTGACATATAAAAAATTTTCTTCCATAAACTATGAATAATAAAGCTTAAAAATCAAAAGGACAAGCATATAAATTATATAATAAGAAAAGTAAATGCATGGTATTGCATCTAAATAGTTTACAAAATGATTACTTTACATAATAAAGTTAAGGATTTTATTAATTATACATAAAAAGTGTGTGAGTACAAAATATACTTAATACAATAAAACCTAACCCTAATATATCAACCTTACTTTGCAGTGTGCAAAGAACATATAAATGATAATAATAAAACAATAAACAATTTAATAATGAAATTCACAAGTGGATAGTAATATTTAAATAAATCTTGATGATCCTTGAGACACTAACTATTTTTTTAATATAACACAGTTTTCATTCCAATATAAATTTTTCATTTCTTTACAATTATTACCCCCCCACAAAAAGAAGAAGAAGTCATATTTAATATTCACAACATGTCATCTTATTGGTTTTCTTTTAATAATAGAAATGACATATTATTGGCTTTCATTTAACCATGAAAGTAACAGACAATAACTTTCACTCAACAATGAAAACTACAAATATTGATTTTTATCAACGATAAAATAACATAATAATGACTCTCAATTATTGATGGAAGTAAACAACATATCATTGACTTTAATTCTTTGATTGAAGCTACAAGCATTGGCTTCTATCCAATGATGAAAGCAATATAACAATGACTCCTATTCATCATCAGAAGTATGCAACATATCATTGACTTCCATTCCATGATAGAAGCTATAAACATTGCTTCCATCCAACAATTTTTTTCTATAAAATCAACACATGAGCTTTCATTTAATATGAAAGCAACATAAGTATTGAGTGCCTTTTAATAATAAAATCAACAAACATTGGCTTCTATTCATTAATGAAAGCAACATAATCATTGATTTTCCTAAATCCCTTTTTCCAATATACTTTTGTTACCTTTACTAAGGTTTATCAAGTATAAGAAATTGTAAGACTAATATACAAAATTAAAAAGATTAAGATGTAAAAAGACCTACTTGGGTTTGACTTCTAGTTGCAACACACTACTATTGTCTCGCTAGTGCAACCTCTCTTGTACCAATAAAGATAAACATCACTGATAAGTTCCACGAACAACAAAAGTGTCATTTCAATTCTAATCCAATCCAAATTTTAACTCACTAAGTTGAACAAATCCTCAAAGTTTCACATATGTATACAGTGTTTCATTTGTCATAATTTCTATAGTGTCGAATCCCAAGCAAATGTTGGAAATATTTTTTTTTCCATTTCAACCTAAGCCTCTCATAATACTATTTAATGTTTCAAACATAACTAGAGTTATAAAATTTAGTTTTAAATGCTGTTTGTTTTGTTAGAAAGATAATACATAAGACTATAACTTTTATAAAGGATGATGAACCCATATCTACCATTTATATATTGAAACATTCTCATAAAAGTAACATGTGAGACTGTCTAGTAGGTTTTAGGCTAAACATTTCATCAATTTTTTGTCCTTATCTAGAGTTTTATAACTATCAGGGAGATAGTCATTTTAAATTGTATCATTTCTAGATAAATCTGTCATGTTTTTAGCTTGTCTCTTTAATAAGCAACTATGTTTTAATTTATCTCTTTATCATTCAAGGCACCCATTTCCTTTCAATATTCTTTCTAATACCATTAAAAATGAACTTTACATAAATCAAACTAATCAAATCTATCCTTATAGATAAAAACTCTCTCAATCAAACCATGATTCAATGACTATAAATAGTAAACAACATCAAAACACACAAATAAGGTTCATAATCTCAATTTCACATACCCAATTTCAATATATCTCATACCACATCTTTATTCAATCTAAGCAATTTGAATGAAGTTCTTACGCTTGATGGATGATGAATCAAGAGACAAATGCAAGGATAAACTAAGTTGTCTTTGCCTTTTATTTTCTCCTTTCAAATCATCTAAAACCCTCACTTACAACTTATACTCTCTTCCATTCCTTGAATTTTTCTCGGTGGTTTTTATCTCCCAATCCTTTAAATCTATGTTTCTATTAGTGTTTACCAAGAAATTTGTAAGGCTTCCCCCTTTTTTTCTAGGATGCAAGGCTGGCTGGAACTTGGCTTCCTTTAGAAGCCAAAACTTTTATGTATACCTTATAAATTCTTTATTTGTATATTAGATCCTCATGATTTGTTTATTTGCATATTAGCCCCTTATATTATTTTTTGTTATTTACACATTAACCTTGTATTTTCCCTCATTTTCACATTTACCCCAAATATTTTTTTCATCTTTACTTTGGCCCTAATATTTCTTTATTCTTACATTGGCTCACTAAACTTTTCATTTCTAATAATTTAAAGTTGCACCATCTCTTTTCTCATTCTTTTTCATCTTTTTTTTTAATTAATTTTTTTTTGGATTTAATCATTTATTTCTAGGTTAAATTATCCCTAGATCCACTATTGGTTTATTCTAAATTAAGGTTGAGTTATTGTGAATTTTCATTGAATATATGTCAATATATTTTTCTCATATAAATATTTTATTCCAAATTCCCGAAGCTATCAATCATCTTCCCTACGCAGTTAAATATTTTTCTATTCATTTAACATAATAGAATTCTTACTATCTATGTATATTCTATCCAAGGCTTTTTAATCTCCCTTTTTTAA